CAATACTTTTGTTATTAGTAATATATATATATATATATATATATATATATATATATATATATATATATATATATATTTGTTTCTTTTTCTCATTTATTGTTGCGCTGCTTTTGCCTGCCAGGTTATATAAACGAAAAGCTTATATACTCATATTCCTGATAACAGTCTGTAAGGGGTAGCTCAAGCGTAGTTCACTGCGTAGCTCAGAGTTTTAAACGAGTGCTGATGTTGGTAATAGGCAGAAAGGTATAAGCGAAATTAGTTTTACGCAAGACCGAAACGCGGGTCATCGGCTATAGTCGATGTTCCAGAGTACGTTCGTCGAAGTTGAAAAGTTCTATCGGGGCAGTACGTTGCTTGACATTTTTCAACAGTCATAGTTGTTAGACTAGCGTTGTGATCAGTCTGCGGTATCGGATTGGACGAATGGCCTCGATCAGTAAATCCAGTCACTTAATCTACTATAAATTCACGTATAGATACGAAACGCTTGTACTAAAGACGCTTGAATTGAATAATTGATCCTGACAAAGATCCTTTGAGCTTCGTAAGAATAGCCTGTATTTCATTTGTGCATCGAAATAGCTTAGCTAAGCAAGCTATTTATAGGTTCTGAATCGGAAAGGAGTATGGAACATACTCAAACGGATCTAGGGATGAAAATCTGGAACCAGTCATCGATCGTTCTTGTGTATACGATAGCTAAAAGTAGCATTATTATGACGATTACCCGGCTCGTCAGATTTGTCTGAGAAACAGTCAAAAACTAACCCGAAATGGTTGCCGTACGTCAGCAATGTGCAGCGCCATGATGGACCGCCAGCGCACAATGACAGACGGAGCTGATAATCAGCTTAGCCAGTCGGAGAACTTTCTCGCTTGACAGCCCGATGATATGCTATCCATTAATACAGTTCTGAGTAGAAAGCTGCAAAATACGCTTCGACAAAAACACAGCACAAGCTACGAAGTCTTGCCGATAAACAGTCAGCCCCTAGAAACAGGGGCGATCTAGTCGACCTCTAATGGTGCAAACAAAAAATGGGGTCGCGCGAATATATTTGCCACAATCAAAAACTATTTATCCGAATTACTTATATTCAAGTGCGCAAAAAAAAGCTGCACGATTCGTTAGAGATATTTATTTACTAGGAAATAGGGAATCGTTTCATCTCAGTTGAGTCGTGAGGAGATAATAAACTGAAATTGTGTTTCAATTTGTTATTTTTCTTTATGTATTTACAAGAAAAAATGGCAACAATTCAGTGAGTAGGCAGGTCCAATCGAAAACCTATGCAATTCAAGTTCTGTTTAGAGCAAACGTAAGCATCTTCCAACGAGTGTTTTTCCGAAAGCTGCAAACCTATTCTTGATTTGTCCTTGCTAAGACAACGACCTAAGCGGCCTAACGAAGATAAGTAATCTCTACGTCAGTCAGTTTTGAATCAAGCGTTGCTTTGGTCCTGCAAACGCGCATTAGATCTGAACTCACGGCTTTAAGTAACTTCCGTTACAGACGTAATACATATATAGAGGGAAGAGAGGAAGGAAGTACAGAAGAACTCAAAGTATTTCAAAGCAAAGGCAGTAGCTTTCTCTAAGACTTTTTTGCTGGATCATGATATGGGGATAGTACATAAAAAGCACGAGGCTCCTCGTGGAAAGCCGACCTAGAGTTCAAAGTTTTAAAGGGGCCCCTCAACATACTTTTGCCCTATTGGATGCGCGTGTGCGGCCCCTTAATATGTCTGACAATTCTTTTTGGCTTCAAGTTATATTATTAGGCTTCAATTATCATTTCAGTTCGAACGTTCGTAAACAGCTTTATGCGGTTGCTCACCAGGCGAATGGGCTATATTTACGCGGATATGTTTTGTATCAAGCGGGAGTTCCTTTTCTAACGGACCTACTTACCGATAAGCGTCTGAGCCAAAGAACAGAGATCAAAAAGCCTGTAAACTAACAGATAAGACATTCAATTCGACCTGTACTAAATACACCTCTAGCATTGGCATTTAGTTCCGCTGAACAGAAAACAGCTCGGGTTCTCGCGGGTACTATATCACGAACAGGTTGAAAGGGAGTGACTTGACCATGTCGCTTTTTGAGATGTGGCGTATATATGTAGACACCATCGTTCATTGTACACGTCGTTCCTATTATCGTCTTTACCGTTGTGGCCGTCAAACGTGCTAACTCGCGTAAAGGAGACGTGAGAGAGCTCTCCCCGTTGCCGGCAGGAAGTCAAGTAAGATGTTTCAATGGCCCACACTTTGTCAATGAATCGAAAATGAAATATACATGACAAAACCTTTGTGTTTCACTATTCGCGTTATAACAAAGATTTGCTTTCCAAAGAATGCCTATCGCACTATTCTGGCCGTGTTGTAAATGATGGTCAAGCTAGGCTTAGTTGTATTTTACATCGATTACGGCCGTCTGGAGTTTTATATATTCTTTTAATAATAACAATGAATGTGTTTATGTTAAACGCTTTGCAGTATCAATTTATTACCTTGGTGATTTGGATAGATCTGGTAACCAAGGACACGCTCATATTATTCAAGCTGAGCTTCATTAGCTTCACCTTCATATATTAGACAGAACGATTACTAACTGACAAACCATTTACGTTTAATAGACTCAACCATTGTTTGAGCTGTAAATTACATTAAACGTGGGTTCCTTCTCAGACCCATTCATATTAGCGAGCCCCATATGTATGTCGTCTGAATGCCCGAGAAAGCAAGCTTGTACACGAGGTTTTCCTGCGGCCAGACCCTATACCAAACTGTGCGACACTGAGCATGATACTCGTAAATTAAAATCATAAACCTTCATGTAAACATATTAACTCCACTCATCGATTTCCTGTTTACCGATAAGAAGTAACTACTGAATAGCATACGAGAAATTGCGTAGATATACGCGCACCAGATAATAGCGTGCAGGTCTTAAAAGCAGCAGGATGAAGGGAGTCCTCGGTCTCGAAGGTCTCCTTTTTCACACTAAAACGAGCTATCTCAAAGGATCGATCATGCAATTTTTCGTTTCAATAAATTACCTACTAGAACAGCTATCTGTGTAGCTCTGTATAACGTATTGGTTATGTGATAGAAAAAACCTTGCACAGAACGCTTCTTGAGGTTGACATTAACGATGATTAGTTAATTAGATTGCCATTAATCACGGGTAGATCGCGTTCAACGGCACAATTGTGCTTCCCGTAACCTAAGCAAGGTATAACATACCCTGCTTTACGGTATAACATATCGTACGTACATTCGACATGGCTACCATTATCACTAACTTATATAAATACGACGACGTTGCGAGGGAAAGCAAAAGAGCTGGATTATTTCGAAATATATCGAATCAACGGCAGTATCGTTTGACGATCGAATCTCGCAAAATGCCGGAAAAGGAACTTCCTATGCATATCTCTGTGACCCTTCTCGTCCTATCGCGGAGGCAGAAACAAATATCGTCGCATTCTGCCATAACAAAGAAGTCCGATAGAAGGTCGACGCTTACAGTCGCGCCGGTCCGCAATTGCTGCAGGGGAATGGTAGATCATCCTTCGTTTGACGAAGAAGTAAGACAGAACTTCGACCACCAGCGGAAAAGAACAGATGGCGAGAGTCGGTGCTGATAGAAAAAATGCCTGTTCACCTTCACAGGAAAGTTGGACATGCGTGACATCGCACTCTCAATGGCTATCAATAAGCAATGTACCTATTGTACTTCTATGGGGCCTGAGGGCATATCAGATGTTGTTTGACCATTCATTTGATTTGTTGTTTGACCATTGATTTTTGAGCAGCTGCCTCTTCTAGGGGTATTAGATTAACGTAGTCAAGTTTTTGAGGTAAGGTTTTTATGGTAAGTTAGAAAATTGTTTTATAATATAATAATAGTTTTGCTCTAAAACTGTGCGTTGTGCCTGCTTACATTGTATTTGAATGTTGTGTATCTAAGTAGGGTTTATTGGCTGGTATCAAGATCGTATAGGGGCCATTTAAAATGAACCTCTGGATAGAATTCTATATTAGAACGAACTGGTCGAAAGAATGAAGTTCAACGACTACAAGCACACTAAAATCCTTATACTGTTTCTATGCCGGCCGTTCTATCTAAGATTCTGCAAGGTGTCCCACAACTCGAAAAAACCGACCAATAGCTATTGACGATTCGATTGTTTGTATCACTTGTCTATGATAAATCCGCATATGTCTCATTTTTTTAATAGAGGGGTTTATGCCCTTAAAAAAGGCACAGCTCTTATATTTCACTTAGGACGTTTACCTGAAACTCGTTTTTTCAATAGTCAAGAGAAACTAAACTTTTAAGCAGACTTTAAGGGTCAGTACGCATTTATGACACTCATACTGCTACTTCCACACTCCTGGATATATAAGTTATTCCAGAAAGAAACCAATGATCATTTGTGGGTTCTTTTGTGAATTATGAATTATACAGAATGTAACCAGTATGTATAAACAAGCAATCAACAGTTTGTTTTCCAACGCACTAGTTTTTTTAGCCAACGCACCACAGGATTTGTACGAGTGCCATGTTATTCCTCTAAGCCGATACTGATTGTAGGCCCCTGTTTCCACCGAGATCAATGGCCAACATAATGACTCGTCACACTATAGATATGTTTATTTATTGATACACACACTTGGGTCAAGTAATAAACGGATTTATCAGTAAAGAATATGGCATCTATGCAAGAAGCTCGAAAAACTGGCACTCTCAGTGATTTTCAGATCATAAACACAAAAACTCTTTATGTTTTTCGACATTTATTTATTGCTATATGCGTACTAATTGATCTATTACTGGCAATAAAGTATATTGCTAGGAGCATTAAGACTACAACTGACTGGTCACTTTGGTAGGCTAATAAAAGTAAATACAATCTAAGTCTAGCTTGCTTTGCTTTCCAGGGCAAGTAGGCCTACGATAAGGCCACACGACACCGTGACCTGAAAGAGGGCGGAGCGCATTGCTGTACTCGTGGGAATGACGACGGCATCGTTGCCACCCCGGCCCGGAGTGGTCCCCATTACGCTCGTGTTTTTAAAATATGAGAACTATCAATCACAGCAGCAACAGAAGAAAAAAGCTGAGCACTCTCAAGCAGTGACATTGTCAACATGTCAAACAGAGAGAGATCACAGATACAAGTACGCCAACAGGTCGAAAACCGGTAGGGTTAGTTCGCGTATTAGGCTCAACAGGAATAGCGCGTCGACGAAGAGCGTCAAGGCTGCTTCGAGATAACCAGGCGGACGGCGACCCGCCATCCAAAATGCGAGGGGACCTCCAGGTGAAATAATAAGTGCCAGTATTTTTCCTGCACTCAATTATTTATCTAAGAAAGAGACGCTGTGCACAGTATGTTCTAATACTGATAAATGTTGCCGAACTTTAAGTTATAGCAAAGTTACGACGTAAATGTGTGGAGTTCAATGATTTGGTATTATGCTGACGAATGAAGTGATCACGTTTATATTCGATGTATATGTGTCATAATCTATTTATCTATTCTGTTCAGATCTGATAGTGATACTGATATGACAATAGCGAGGTTGAAAAATTATCCAGGGCATAAATATCTGTCTGATCTATGTCACGTTATATAGCCTCGGTAGTAGGTGGACATATGTGACAACGATAAATTGTTTGCCTAAAAATCCAGCTATGATTCATAGTGCGCCAGGTGAAAGGACGTCGGCTCTCTGTGTTCCATCAACTAAAAAGAAAATTCGGACAGCAGATCGCTTACATTGAACTAATTTACCTTTTTAACCACAAACCTACATTTTCCAAACTCCTGGACGCACCAGTCTCAATATGTTCGACGCTACATGATTAACATAAAACTACCCGCTAGTTTGTATACAGAGGAGACAGCAAGTTTGAAACTCATTTAGCTGCCATTGGCTTGATACAGTTCTTGGGCTAAGCTGTAGCACCCCAGAGCCCTCCTAAAGCCCGGTTCACTATGAGGTAATTTCGACTATATTACCCAGAATGTCTCTCCCAGAATCGGCCCAGAATGTCTCTAGACAGTTCGGTGGTCTTTGTCTAATATCTGTTAAAGTGGTAGAGTTTATGCAGACCGTCACATTATTTTTTAACTCTATAAAATGCGTTGGTATACATCTGAAATGCTATAGTGTTCATTTAACTGGCCTTGTTGCCTAACACCAGAATGTCCTGTTATGTGCTCAAAGCATAACAAATGTTTTTAATTTAGATAATGCCTTTTAAGCGTTCACATTATCGAGCATTATTTAGAAAAACCGTATGTTTCTATCAACCTTTTACCATTGTTGTGCTCGAATGGCTTACCCTCTAATTCCGCATGTTACATTTATTCCTTCAGTAAAGGTAATAGCCCAAACCAAATTTCTGATCATAAGTGAATGGTTCTCTTGAATCAGACTCCAGTAGATAAGTTGCTAGGATTCGGGCCGCATAAGGCCCGCAACATGTAGCCTTGACGCTTTATTTTTATTTCGGAACGTGTTCTTTGAATCGGTAATGGCGCATTTGGGTTAGCGAATGCATCAAGCAGTCCACCCTAATAAAGCAGACTGTCACAACAAAACCTTCTATTTATAATATGATTTGGAAATGCTTGTATTGAAAATATGTATAATGAAATTCTATGTTGACTGCGAGGATTCATTTATTAACGAGAACATATGGTAATAAATAATACTCCAGTAAATATTTGGTATTTGTTCGTCACGGACGCCAACGACCATAGGCAAGAGCTTCTTGGCGTGTCGATTTTCAAAAAAAAAAAAGAGTTCTTCAGTGTCAGTATCACCTTTTGCGCGTCAACGAGTCCTGAGGGTTTCGTTTGATGATACATCTTAAACAACCTATTTTTTTTTTTTTTTTTACTACGAAGCCGAAAAGCCGCCCCTGTTTAGCTTTTCGGTGACTATTCGGGTTTATAATGAAGCTGGAACCGCAGGTTCTTTGCAAGACGTTCTTGCGTCCTCGAGGCGCTTTACAAAGCGCCTTATACGGATCCCCTCGGGACATAGGCGTTTTTTAAAAATGCATATTTATTTGCACTACTACTTTCTGTTCGCGCAAGCGCAGGCTTATCTGTCAGTTCTAACCCAGTATATACTATTTACTGTAAACTTCTTGCTACTTTGACAGTTCCTTTAATTGTTGAAGGACATTCACATGTGTGGCATTAAACCCACTCAATGACCGGACCGGGTAAGATACTCGAAAACTTTTTTTCTTCCTAAGCAGAATACGTATGTTGTCTTTTGGTCATCTCGTACAAGCCAGGCAAGCATCTCCTTCGTAGAGAGCAAATAAACCTCGGATGCCGTAGATACCCAATGTACTGAATTTCACTTCGAGGGCTAGATAACTACATTAAAGCATGGTACATTACAGCGTCGTTCATTGGTTATCTTTAATACATGTTTTCTTTTTTTTTCTTGGTGTCCTTGAACCTCTAGCCGGTGAGGTTACAACCCTCTTGTTCAACTCGACTTCAGCTTTTTTTCACAAACTTTCATCATAATTCTTCCTTTTATAAATCCTGCTCTTTGTGACTGCACACACGTCCCGCAAACTACTCTTTTTGCTTCTTATTCCTATGCGATAGGAATAGTGATTCTGTCATACTACCGTTCGCATTTTGCGTTTATTATTACGACTGAGCGCTACCGTGGAAAGACGCTGCTTGACAAAGGCTCGTCTGCCTAAGGTTTGCAACCTTCTTCTCCTTTCCGAGTGAATTCCTCCTGGAGCCTGTTCGCCGTTAATAAAGGAACGACCTTTGGTCTGTTGTTGCCAGCCGATTTTGGGATTGTCATCCTTCCTGTCACCTTCATGTTCATTCGTCAGTTGAAACTGTCCTTCATTCGTCCTTTTTCCATCTTTTCCTCCAGATTCCTTTAAATCGAGTCACCGCTACATCCTTGATTAACCTTCGACTCTGTTCTTTTTGCGATATCCAAACGTTCTCTGTTCCATAAGTATTTAGAAGAAAATATTTGGCCCTATATTTGCAAAGCATTTCATCTGAACATTTTTTAACCATTAGGAAGACAAATTTATCTATTTAAAATAAATTACGTGAATGTGAAAGTCTCGCTTAAGCACCCTTTAAAACCTCACAAAGAAATTCACATTATTTGTGCATCAACTTCCAGTTATCAGCGAACCTCTTAGCGTGCTTCTTTATTTCAGCTAAGTATAATGGTCGGATGTTTTTTTACAGATTGGCGAGTACGGGGGTTTAGAGCTGGGTGGCGGCCGAAATTCGAGTTTGCAGTTGGATTATGATGATACTTCTGTCGGCTTCAATGCAGCCAATAGGTCGGCAATAATTAATGATACCACGTTTTGGCCATCCGACAGCACAGCGATCGCCCAAGATGAGGAGAAGGTTTACTGGGCACTATTGCTACTTATTTTGCCTGGTGAGTATTTATATAATAAATGCGTTCTTTATTCCGAGGGGTTGCTTGTGCAGTATTTATAGGCCGTTGATAGAACTTCCCAACTAAAGACCTGGTCGTTTAAACTACATATTGATCCAATGTGTGAAGGGAACATTATACAAGCACAAGTCGAAGAAAGGTCTGTGTAAAGGCGTCGAATCCATGCCATCAAGCCTCGATCGGTTCCGAGATCAGGAAATTGTCAATTTCTAAGCCAATATACATCGCCGAGGAAGTGATAATTGGACTTGCCATTCTACGTATGTTCGAGGGCTAACTATTCATAGACTGAAAAAAGGCAGACTTCAACTAACTTCAACCTTATTCACAGTTATAAACTAGGTAACTATTAGGCTGGTAATTCTATCTAAAGTGGAACTTACGGGTAGTGGTGACGGAGGTAAAATTTGAAACATTCGCTTAGATTGCTACACAATCAATAGACATATTACCCACAGAAGGGACAGTGTCGCAGGTCGAGCAGAGTATCTTAATTATTTCTACAAAGCGTTTGATCTTTTAGTTTAGATCACAAAACTTTCATTCTTTTTTTAGGACTCGGGACATAGGTCTGTTGTCTGCTAAAAAAACAACAGCGTTTCTGATGCCTTGTTTGTGTTTTCGGCAGACGTCACGTTGCACCATGCTACAATTAAGATAATCCATTAAAAACAAATAACTGTAAACCAGCATCATCAAGTGAAGTAGCGTATTCCAATCGGCTTTTTGAGTCGAATAGAACGAAGCCTTTTTTAGGAGGAATCATTGTCAGATGAGGCTCTATATCCTAGTTAGAGAATTCTCACCGTACGCGAGACGAAGTTCTCGCGTCAGCAAGGAGTCGAAGCTGCAAACGCACTTAAGACCAATTTTTAAAATTCGATCAAAATCTAAAATTTCTTATTTTGAACAGAAAAAGACAGAAGTCCTGTGGTGCAATGAACCTCGCGAAAGTACGTAAGTAATTTTTAACCATCCACAAACAAAGAATGAGCACAGGGACGGAACACGCAAAAAAATATACCGTTACTTACGCAACAACCTAGCTATTTGTTCTTCAGTATTGTCACACACCATTTTTCTTCAATTCGATCGTTCTTCAAGCGAATATTTATGTAAATGTATTTTTCAGAACAATCGCCGAGGATCGCTGAGCACATACCTCGTATTTACAGATATTGGGTCATCAAAAGAGTATTGATCATTTTTACAGCTAGATGGTCTCAAGGTTGCGTATCTTAGGTAATTTGGGTCGCCTGGAATCGACGCTGGCATCGCTTTAGAGCTGCGGCTGTTGTAGACGTGCTAAGACCGATGAAGTGCTTTTATTCAGGCATGGAGAAGACGGAACGCCTTAAGGACGGATGAAATGTGTGCAAAAATTTGTCCATTTTACTATGATAAAAAGGTACATGCTGCCAATATCCATACAAATATGGGTGTTGTTTATGATCAAGATGTGTTATCGGAGGAAACGATCTAAAGATGGTCTTGTCACTTTCGTCCTGAAAATTTCGACGCAAAAGAAGCTCTTCGAAATGGTCGACCAGTTACGAAAAAGGACTACTGTGAAGTTATTGCGGAAGTTGAGCAACACCGGGACGTGAATAAGTTATGACTCCGCCAAGAAATTGAATATTTAACAGTGAACAATTTGAAACCTTTTGAAGAAAGCTGGCTACAAGATGAAGCTTTACGTTGGGTGCTATACGAATTGACGGTAACGAATATACTCGATCGTAATGCCAACTGTGAAACTATATAAAAACGTATTGAAATCGAGCGATTTGTTATGGATGATAAAAAACAGATCATATATATATAACAATAGTGTGCAAACAAAAAAAGTAGGTTAAAATCTATGACAAAGCCCAGACTGACACCAACGAAACTGGGCGTCATAACCTGCTGCGATACGGCCAAACGACTACCCATTTCTACTGTCAACAACGAGCAACAATAAGCCATGACATGAACAAATCAACCGAAGCCGCTTCCCACCATGTCAGTGCTGCACCACACGCATCTCTAGCTACACGGCAAAAATGACAAGGTCCCAACTGGGAAATTTTGATGCACGTATCACCATCAAACAATCGTCTGTTTCTAGTCTGTCCTAATCGTGGTAATTTTTCATCCAGAAACCAGTGAAGTTTTATAGTGACAGGATTATGATGTTGCCAAAAAAAATGGCTGGTCATCCATTGAAACGGTGTGCTTAAATAGTAATACTATTTTGAGATGTAGAAAAATTGTTAGCTCAAATACGATGAATAATTTTTCGACGACCTAATATATTTAAGGTCTAGGCCTAGCTCGATACGAATAATATAACGAAACGTGCGGTTAAAGCTACGAACCAGATTTAAGTGTACGCTCACAAAGACGACCTCATAAGGGATGTCAGGTCACTAAACCTTGCCACTATACTACATATATAAACCTGTCTTAAAACTGGCAATTGAAGAGAGAAAACCTTAACTGTACATGCGTCGTACCTGCACGATGTACGTCATATTATATCTCCTAGCATATGGGCTAACTGCACCTCAGCAATGGACCAGTCGTATTTAACTAGAGGAGCTCAGCAACGTTCAAAGGTAGACCCGAGCTAAAGGCGAAACAGGCTTACGTTTGATATGAGGAGAGCGTAGGTTTGAATAAAGGTTTCGGTGGCATAGCCTATCTGAAATTCTTTCCCGTTTAGGTACAGAGCATATGCATTGTAGCAGAATTTTTTTTCTTGAATACGTTTCTCGCATTCAATGGACTCGTTTTCAAGCGACAGACAAAACACTACGACTCAATAAAATAACTTCTGGAAGTTGCTGAATTGTGAGAAGGAAGGGCTCTGACCTCGTGGGAAAGCCAAAACTACCATTTGCGGCAAGAGAAAGTGTATTTCCACATTGGACCAAAGACCTTTGGAGGTCGATTTTTCATAAACAGTCAGTAACGTACTCATACATTTATTTATACAGCTGATCTCCAGAATAGAATCCGGTCTCATTCCCGGACCCAAGCCAATAAAGAGTTAATTAAATTGCTGATCATTCGCCCAGTGCGACCTGGTTGTCTAGGAATTATGCTCTCAATATATGATCAAATAAATATGCAGCTTTCAGTATGTTAGGGAGAAAACGGATTGGATAAAGGTCCATATTTGTGAAGCCAGTTGCAACTACGCTATCTTAAGCAAATCGTTGATACAAGGAGAAAATTTTTTGCTTACTATAGGGATTGCCTTGTCTCAAGCACAGGTAGTGTGTTCTAGGTATTTTCGTCGAATGAAGTTTCGTAAATGAGGATTTAGTTAGAGATCAAAGACAAAAATGCCCAACGTTATTTCGACTAAGAGAAGCCAACAGTGTTACATGTTCACATTTAGCGTACCGCCCGGATCGTACAACCGAAGACATACGTTGCTCATTAGCTGTCATTCCGATCGATGTTGACCTACTGCTGGAACAAAGAGTGAAATATAGAGGGGCGTCAGTACGGTGATAACATTTGCCTTGAATATTTGGGAAGAGCAGTTAGTACAAGGGGCATACCAGTCAGGCTGCCCTAGCTGTCGCCTCGAATGTATCTGACACGATGCACTTTCAGTGCCTTTGACCCGTCCGCCGAACGAGGCAGAATTTGCCCCGAGAACCGCATACCTCCGGATGAGCCGAAGGCTTGGGTTGCTCTACAGTCAATCGAATGAATAAAGGAGGCAACGAGGACACAGCAAGCTAGGATGCCTATGCGAACGGGGCTGTGTTACCGGGATCGTACGAGGTGTCGTTTGTAAGCGGCGCGGAAACCTCTGACCAAACGCCACCGTAATCCAACGTTGCGATCTAATGGCGACAAGCCAGTAGCCACTCTTGCTCACGCCCTCTGTTTATCGTTTTCAGCACACCCTCGGACTGAGCCGAATGACAGCAGACGATAGACAGCGTATTACTTACTTCACAGAAGCGCGCGCGGGAGAGCGTAAGAGAAAATGTACTTTTTCAAAGGCCAGCGGTCGATTTAGTGTCACTCGAAAGCTTTCAATATTGTGCACGTGGCAATATTATGAAAAAATCAAACACGTATCAGCTCACGTCTCTGTCTGAAATGAGAACTCCTCGTTCCGATGGCTGTGCAGTAGTATCGTCGGTTCTGTCGATCTGTAAAATGACAATAGAAAACTATGCTATCCTTGTTTTGAATTTCGTATCAACTATGCTCCTTCCTGCCCTCCTAGAAAGGGGATAGGGGTCAGGTCGACGCGAGATTTCGGGATAAGTTAGACAAAACGCTCATGGAAGGTTAGTTCTAGGGGGCCCTTAGACGTCACATTGCCAGCAGCTGGGCGATGGGTTGCCCACCAGGAGGCTCTCTGACACATCTCTCTCCCAAGTTTTTATCGCTAGGTATAGCTATCTCGTCTGCTAAACACGAACAGCACATCTTGCTTTAGATTCTATTGCACTTTATTAAATGAGAGGCTGTGATGTTGTGCTAGAAGAAACGTGCGCATGAATGGAGGGGAAAAATAGGTCGAACGGGTCCCCTTAGAAATCTATCACCGAATTCCATTGCTTAACTTTGACACTGGCATTTTTCCATGTTTTCATCTACAAGTCGATTAGAGCGTATTACCTCAGTAACGTCTGCCGTGTGTTAACAAGACGAGCAACCTAAAAACCTGCTATATTCAGGCCCGCGCAAAAAGAATTCCCTTCATTTTCAAACATGACATATAGCTTTGGTGAATATTAAGGTAATCCTTTACACAGGGATTTGTATTTAATTGTATTTAAGACGTCTATATAAACTGCCTCGAGATATATTTCTGAAGGCCACATTTCTGCTTGGCTGTCTTGTCCTTAAAACGATCAGCTTTGCAATTGTTACGTGAAACTTATAATTTATTCAAGAATGGATTTATCATCATTTTAGAACATTTCAATATCTGTTTATTGTTGTTCAATATATGTGAACGA